CACATAATTTCAAACAATTTTTTTTTATTACAAGTGATCAGATTAAAGCCATGAATCTCTCTTTTTCTTTGTCTCCCTCTCTTATTTCTTCTATCATGATCATCAGAGAAACTTGACATGATCAACAAATACTTATCTGAGTAATTCGAAATGTAATCTCCATCATTATTCAGTAAGAACCGTAAAGAGTTTTTAGATACATAGAAATACATTTTCCAGATACATCATAACAGCAAATTAGTTACTTGTCTTTTTCTCTTCTTTTTCCACAGAAAACATTTGATTCCATTTAAACCAGTTAGATTTATATTACCTAGGATCATATATTACCAGTAAAATAGAGAATTTATACATATCATTTATATCCTAAATTGAGACTATTATAATTCATTATAATCAAACAAAAGCTTTCCTCCTGAACAATACTATAATTTAACATATTCATTCTTGATAAAGAGTACTGTGTAGCACCTACCAGGGACTTAACCAGTATTTCAATATTACTTTCTATATTTCTTCCTCACATCTACATAAACACTGGGAATTTTAGTATCATATATATATATATATATATATAAAGTTTGACAAAACAACCTTATATAAGTTTCTTATTTACAAAACAATATGTTTCAAATAAATAGAACATAACATCTACGACCTATATCCCATATTTCAGAAGAATATTTAAAACTAGATGGAATTCGACTGCGCGCAGTCGAAAATGATGCCTCCGTTAAAGAGCAATTTTACAAACCAAACAGAAAAAAAAAATTGAATTCACGTTCAATGGTAACCCATTGACAGGTTCTCAGAATATTGTGATTACAAGCAATTTCTCATATACATATATGACCCTTTGATCTTTCACCTCATGACCATAAAATCTACTCAGTTCATTGGCTCTGCAAGTAACAAACATGACCTAATTTTGGCATGAATCCATCAATCGGTTCTTGAGATAACGCGATCACAAGCTGTTTTTGCATTCATAATGTGCGCTGTGGCCTTTGACCTTTGACCTACGTGCTCCAAAATCTAATCAGATCGTCTTCCTATGGTGATACACACTATCACTAAGTTTGAAGTTTAAATCTCCAGTGGTTCTTGAGATATCATGATAACAATCTCAATGTATGGAATTTCATAAGTTGACCTCTGTGACCCTTGACCTTTGACATACGTGCTCCAAAATCTAATCAGATTGTTTTCCTATAGTGATACACACTATCACTAAGTTTGAAGTTTAAATCTCCAGTGGTTCTTGAGATATCATGATAACAATCTCAATGTATGGAATTTCATAAGTTGACCTCTGTGACCCTTGACCTTTGACATACATGCTCCAAAATCTAATCAGATCGTCTTCCTATGGTGATACATACTATCCTTAAGTTTGAAGTTTAAATCTCAAATGGTTCTTGAGATATCGCGCTAACAAACTCAATACAAGGAATTTCATAAGTTGACCTCTGTGACCTGTGACCTTTGACCTACGTACTCCAAAATCTAATCAGATCGTCTTCCTATGGTGATAAATACTATTCCCGAGTTTTAAGTTTAAATCTTAAATGGTTCTTGAGATATTGTGATAACGGTCAAACGGGACGGACGGACGGACGTACGGACGGACGGACGTACGGACGGACAACCCGAAAACATGATGCCTCCGGCACCACCTTCGGTGGCGGAGGCATAAAAACTAGAAAATGTATAACATGTTATAAATTTTTGCATTAAATGCTTTTAAGTTGCATTTAGAGAGTTGTAGAATATAAACCCATGTTTACATTTGTATATTCTTGTAAAGAAGTTATTGATTAAAAACAACAACAGAAATTGAGTTTAAAGCTAAATCAAAACATTGCAGTGTAATTTCAGGAGAAAAGACCTGTCATGCCTAACAGGCCATGCTATGTTTCTATGCATCCTCCCTCTCCATGATACTAATGCACAAAAAAGATAAAATATAACTTAACAGACGTTGTTCAAATAAAAATACAAACACATTTACACAGCCCACTATATGCTAACAAAATGGGTTTTTTCTTCAGCCTTTACAGTATTTTAAGGACAAATTAATATATCCTTGTGATCAATTTGCACAATGAATGAACCAACTCTTTTAAAAACTGGGTTTTCATAATGAAAACCGATCACTTGGCTACCCTGTACACATTACATCCAACGAATTGGCAGGACTACATTTGATCAATCATTGAAAATAACTAGAAAATAGATAAGATTATAATTAGAAACAAAGTTTTCATAACTATAACTATCGTCTGTCATCCCTGTTTACAGAACATACACCTATTTGGCTATCATTCTAAATAAACCATATAAATTAGAGAAAATACACCTAAGTAGAAATTAATCGCAAGGGATGATGGCAAATTTGAAGTAGACGACAGAATGTGTATCTGGGAATTTAGGGTGACGAAATATGCAATGTACTATCTGGATCATGGGAATTTTAATGAAACTCTCAAACAGCAAACTCTTTGTCACCCAACCCCAGGATGACTCAACAGAGCTAGCATAACAATGCCCAGTACATCAACATGACAGCCTTCAATAAGGGGATATCCTGATTGAAAGGAGACAGATACTAGCTACATACATGTACATGTAGTCTGTTAATCCTGCATGCATAGTACATGGAGAGAATACTGGTACCAGGGAGTTCAGTAGGGATTGGAAAATGATCCATGGAAACAATACATGCTCAGGAAATTTGAAAAATGAGGGTAAAATACTGTGCTTCCTTTACTAAAATATAAAGTGATCAACTTCAATTGCTCCTATTCCATGATAATAGCATTTATACAGTTGTAAAAACAGGATATAACAAACAGGCACCTTTTTGCTGAAAAAAAAACAAAACTGAACAAACTACAACCTCATGTACAGTATTTACTGGTAATGATTTTAAAACATAGGGAGATAATATTTACTAGTTTATACAGCAGCAAATTCTATATTATTGAGGTATATGTGTGGATTAAGTATCAAAAGAATAATGGATTGCATAATATCTTTTCCTACAAAACAAAATGTATATATGTTTTGGCTGTTGAAATCTAATAAATCAAAATATACCTTGTATGGTATAGACTTCACTTATGTTATACATTTCACTGTTTATCTGTTTCTTTCACCTTAAAGGTAATACAAAGTTTTGGTATGGGGTTGTGAATTTGGTTCAAATGAACATATTGGAAGCATATGTTATCCTACAATATTCAGTGATCGTTGTCGCGGTTCAACTTGAGTCGAAAGTTATGAAATTGTAAATAATCTTTATGTTGTATATAGCTCCCTCTCAAGGTCAAGATATTAATTAAGCTATAAAACAATGTTTCTCGACCAAAATTGATCAATTAGCTATTCCCGTTTGGAAATTATATATCATATCTACATATTCTGAGATTTTCATGGTCGCAGCTACTGTTGTACGGCTGTAGGGACTATTTGAAATTTATCGAAATTTACCGGGAGCACCGGTAAATTTTAATATTCAATTTTTCTCGAAAGCAGAAGTGCTTTAGGAGCTAAATTTTCTAGTGCTTATAATACATCCATAGGGGCATCCAAATATATCAAAATTATAAAGAATCACCATCCACCCAATTTTCAATATTTCCCGAAACCTTGCATTACCTTTAATTGATATGAAATATATGTAATTTATGTAATTAATGTAAAAATAAAAATAAACCCACTACAAGTGATAACCAATGCACAGTCATCAAACATTATAAAAGTCACAACATTTAGGATTTAGTTCTTCCCAGAAGGGTATTGAAAACTTCATTCAGTATTTCCATCATCAAAAAATGTAAATGACTGATCATTAAAAAAAAAAACTTCTTCAATTTTCCTACCCTTCTATGATAATTAATCATTTCTCTGATTAGAGTGGTCAGATAATTGATGAATTATTATAATCACATAGATACATGAAAGAATTTTTTTCTTCTTTCTATTAGCATAACGATTGCGATAACTTAATTGTCCTTCGACACAATTATCTTTTTGATTATCTCTCTCCTTTTTGTTGTTGACAAAAATAGAATTAAAGTGCATGAGTACTTAATACGGTAATAGGCAAAGGGTACCAGTAATAAGCTTGAGCACACATTTCCAGTGCCCAATACAATGGTATTTACCCTACTTTCCTCATTATCAATTAGGTTAGGAAATTGCTTAAACTGACAGTCACACCCCCTACAAGCCCAAATCAGACAATGTTATCTGGCTATATACCCACATAATTCTTCATACTGGTTGGTTCTCTTTCCTTTTTTAGAACAATGTAATCCCAGCAAATGGGTACGCAATGTACCAGATTTAATGTATAATTACTAATCCTCTCTATCTAATCCTCTCTATAATGCAATGTACATTGGCAAGGGAGGTTTTGATGTAATAAAAACAAATCACACAAAAACTAAATCAGGTGTTTAGGGCATGGCAGAATAAGAAAATTAGAATGGCACAATGTTTTTAAAAAAAATAAGCCGAGAGATCTATTCCAGAAAATTCATCTATTTGTGAGAGAAAATATTAATCTGATCAATCAGATCAGTGCTGCAGTGTCTAATAAGCAGCTAATATACAAGCAAATCATTCTAATATAGATACATCATACAATGATACGAACTTCTCTGATCTCTTTAATAAAAGGAATTGCACATCTCTTCCCACTTACTCTTTCTAATCAGGATTCGCTAAAAAAATAACATTTACAGACATACATGCATGGTCACACAATATGGACATTTAAAAACATACTCTGTGATTTGACACCGTAATTCATTACTTTTAAAACATGGACGACAACATCTGCAGTGAATGTTTGCTCTGAGATATTCACATAAAAAAGAGTGGAGGTATGAAAACAACCCCAAAGGCACCTTGCAGAAAGACGTGACTGGCTGATCGAAACTTCGTTGCTGCCGGGCCACCTGCCGCTACAGAGGACGGGTGTTACTTTAGAAGGCAGCTTTATGTAAATCGGCTACCTTCTTGAGCATGGCCATGTGACTGGCAAATAGAGGGCTCTTGGAGCTGACTTGCCGCCACCCTGCACTCTGAGCATCGTCGCTAGCCTGTAAACAAAGAAAAGTAGACTTGTTCACTTAATCTTAAAAAGGCAAGTACAAGGTTTGTAGTCATTCGATGCCCCATATGTTAACAACATTACAGAAAAATAAATGAATAGCAACATCTCAGAAGCCATTTTCATTCCTGCTCTTAAATGGCTGTCAACTTGATGAATCATCATGTATACCTAATAAAAACTTTGAAGATGTCATTAACAGATCTTTGAGACAAAATATCTTAGACTTGCCCAAAATTTTAAATGGTCTAATTCACACAGGTTAATGTAAATTTATGACACAGAAACATTACATTCTTAAATCTGTGCCATTAGTATAATAATTCAATAGATAAGAATCCTTCATAAACAGCACACTTGCTGCAAGAATTAAATTTCTTGTTATCCTTCTCTTTGTGTTATACTTCATGATTTATATCATATTACATACATAATACAAAATTACCAAAAACAAAATGATTTGTCAATTAATTTAATCCAAATTATACATTGAACGTATTGTTCAAATATAAAAAAAGATTATAGCACAGATGTTCAACATCTATTAAAAGCATTGCTACAGATCACACACATCGATCATATACCAGGCACATGCTGCTTCGATTCTACAATCCTTTTACAACATGATGGCATACAAAACCTTTTACTTGGTAACACATTTTTGATTCCATGAGTGATGGTGTTCTTACCTCCAGAGTGAAAGAATCAAAGCCAGAACCATCTTCATCATGGAAGTTCATTGCGACCGTCTCTATCCAGGCGTTATCGGTGTTCCTTGGATCGTCCACATAACCCTTGTATACCTGAATGATGAACAAAGACATAGTCATTTTTATAGTCAGTATTGGAAAATTGACATATAAATCGAAGATGGAGACAGATTGTCAACACAAAGGTGCAGTTACCCTTTCTTTTGCCTAAAAATGAAAATTACCATTGAAATTTGACCAAATATTAAAGTATTTAACCAGGAGATGATTATGCACATATTCACTTAATACAGTTTCATATGGACATGTCAGTCTGAAAGTATAATGGCCTCACATCACTTCCAGAGGGAAATCAAACATAAAAACCAAGTACGTAGAGGCAGGGGTGGATCCAGCCGGTGGCAAGAGGGTGAATAAGCGGGGATTGGGGGGGGGGGGGGGGATGCTGGAGAGGAGGACCACTTTTAATATGTTGTTGAGGGGGGGGGGGGGGGAAACAAAATTTGGAGGGGGGGGGGGGGTCAGTGAGCTTTTGTTTTTTGTTTAAAACTAGATGGACCTTCGACCGCACGCAGTCGAAAATGATGCCTCCGCCATGGAGCAATTTTACAACCAAAACAGAAGCGAGCTATTTTTGCATACATAATGAGTCCTGTGACCTTTGACCTTGGATCTCGTGACCCTAAAATCTAATCAGTTCATTTTCTCTGCAAGATACATACATGACCTAAGTTCGGCGGGAATCCATCACTTGGTTCTTGAGATAATGCGATCACAAGAACGGGACGTACGGACAGAAGTACGTACATACCTACGTACGTACGTACGGACGGACAACCCGAAAACATAATGCCTCCGGCTACTTGTAGCGGAGGCATTAAAAGTAAAATGTACATTACTATCCTATTTTTTACCGTTTTGGGGGATGGGGGGGGGGGGGGGCGGGCCGGTAGAATCATAATAATAATAATAAAGGTAGATTTATTCAGCGCATAATAAACCAAAGTTTTTCTATGCACTTTACAAAGTAAAACCAGAACGTCAATAACGTAGCGCTCATCCGCATCTCGCAACAACAAATATCGTAAATTTTATGTGGTACACTTTTGAATTGGTCAAAAAATAAAAATTTGATCCAAAGTGTGTGTGCAACGGGGGGGGGGGGGGGGGGGGGGGGGGGTATGCAGTGTGATTGCCATGCCTAGGTATCCTGGCCTTGCGCTAGTAGCGCCCAGGCTTAGCGCTTTGCTGAAAACAAAATGCGTTCTGAACATTTAATTTTCAACCTCTTATTTCTCCTCTTTTTAATCCACAAATCAAGTGTTTTCTGTGAGGGATCAAATTTGCAAATAATCCTCCTAATATTTTGCACAAAACTTTAAAAATGAAATGAAGGAGAAGAATCATTTTCTGTTATTTTTGGAATAAATTTGAATAAATTACCATAATTAATCAATGGAGCAAAATCTCAAAATTCTGTGTAGAACTTTAGTAATCCAAATTTAGCTCTACCAGATGAAGCAAACCAAATCAAAATCGGTCAAGAAATGAGGGAGAAGAAGCAATTTTTGTTATTTTTGGAATAAATTTGCATAAATTACCATAATCAATTAATGGAGAACAATTTCAAAATTCTGTGTAGAAGTTTAGTGTTCCATCGGGCGGATGAGCTAAACACAAGCAAGTACAAGTATATTTAAATAGTTACAAATTAAGAACGAAATATAAAAGACCTTAAACTAAAGACATGTAGCTAAGAGAATTCATTGCGAACAAATTTAATACAAATAGCAAATACTTAATACTTAATTATAATACATAGATGAAAAGTAATGTCAAAAATTACAAACGAAACAGGTAAGTTTTAAGAAGGGTTTTGAAAGTCTGTCGTGTGGGAGCTTGACGGACATGTAGAGGGAGCGAATTCCAGAGAGTTGGGGCAGCCACTTCAAAAGCCCTGTTACCGTAGAAATGAGTTGAGTGACAAGGAATTTGCAGGAGGTGCTGGGCTGAAGATCTGAGTGTGCGTGCAGGAACATAAGGTGACATCATATCTGAGATGTAGGCAGGACTCGTGTCGTTCTGGGCTTTGAAAGTGATGAGCAGAATTTTGAAGATTATTCTCTTTCGATTGGGAGCCAGTACTCATGAAGAAGATGTGCAGTATTGTGTCTGCATGGGGCTCTTGAGATGATTCTAGCTGCAGCATTTTGTAGGGTTGGAGCTTGCGAATCTTATTCTTAGGGAGACCATACAGTAGACTGTTACAGAAATCCAGTCTGCTCATCACGAAGGACTGTATCAGCGTTTGTGTAGCCGATTTGATCTTGTATCTTCTGATCTTCCCTATAGTTCGTAATGCAGCTGTGGCAGATCTGCAGACGTTCTTTAGTTGATCATCCATCGTTAGGTTTGTCCACAATTACACCTAAATTCCTCGCATTCTCTACCGGGGCAATCACTGCTTCACCAACTGTCACTGCTGTTGGCTGGATGTCGGAACTTTGAGGAGAAATGCATCACTTCCGTCTTCGAATCGGCCCGTGGATCCGCGCCTGAGTGGAGGTGTTGTCAAATAGATAAGTCATTGGATAAAGGAGAAGATGTGAGAGCATCTGTCAACCCTGGTCAATGAGCAAACATCTAACTCCACAGCATGGGAAAAAACGGATGCTAAACCATGATAAACCATGAAGATGATTGGACATGCAGTGGAACATAAGGTTCTAAACCCAGTCCAAGCAATAACGTTCTTGTAAGGATATTGATCACATTCGCCACACCTGACCGAGTGGAGTAAATGGGTACCCGTAGGAATAGAATCCTTGAATGCTCAAGCTCTTCATCAGAGCAGCTACGCTAGTGCCAGGGTAAATAATCCAAAGCTCTTTGAACACTCATAGAAAGATTACTGAAGATACAATGTGTGCTATACAAACATAACATAACTATAGCTCTTTTTTTCAAAAGCACATGTTCCTCACCTCAACACCGTTCGAGAAGAGCTTGTTGACATGTTCCTGATGAGAGCAGCTTCATCATCTGTCTTGTTGAGAGCACCCAGGGCCTCCTCTCCAAACTCTCTATTCAGAGTCTCACTGACCAAATGACCTGGCTGTACCATACCCTGTATTACAAAATATAAACATTACAAGCATATAGAGCAGGGATTCTTGATTGATTTGCAAAAGGGACCACAAATATTTCTGAAATTCAGCTGCCGGCCACCAAGTATTATATAGACATACTAATGACCCATCTTGGGGGGAATATTTTCAAAATATCATTATATGTATCATATTGTCCCATGGGCCACTATTAAAGAACGAGAGATACATAGTTGATAGTGTACAGATTGTTGAAGCTCACAATTAAAGATGAAACAAGGGAAACGCTCTCGGCGGTCTCGTCTGCATTATGCAACTCGATATGATGAACAAGGGAAACGCTCTCGGCGGTCTCGCCTGCATAACGCAATTCAATATGATAAACCAGAACGTCAATGACGTAGCGCTGATCCGCATCTCGCAACAACAAATATCGTGAATTTTATGTGGTACACTTTTGAACTGGTCAAAAAATAAAAATTTGATGCCCTGGAAGGGACATACTGTAATTTCATTTCATTTGCATAAAGTACCATAAATAATCAATAGAGCAAAATCTCACAATTCTGTGTAGAAGTTTAGTGTTCCAAATTTAGCTCTACCAGATCAGGCAAACCAAATCAAACTCAGTCGAGAAATGAAGGAGAAGAAGCCTTTTTGTGATTTCGAATAAATTGCATAAATTAGCATAATTAATTAATGGAAAACAATTTCAAAATTCTGTGTAGAAGTTTAGTATACCAAAGTTAGCTCTACGATATAAAGCAAACCAAATCAAAATCAGTCAAGAAATGAAGGAGAAGAGAAGCCTTTTTTATGATTTCGAATAAATTTGCATAAATTAGCATAGATAATGAATTTCACGATTCTGTGTAGAAATTTTAAATCCCCCTCCTAGCCCTATCATATGAAACAATCAGAATCAAAATCGGTTGAAAAATAACGAAAAAGAAGCATTTTGAAAATCTTTATGTGGTGCCACAACAAAGTCAAAGTTTGTTGACCTAAATGACCTTTGACCTTAACGTAGTGACCTGAAATTCTACTCACATGATTGGGGAGACTTGATAACCCTATAGTCTAATTTTCATTGACTAAGAACTTATACTTTCAAAATTATATCAAAAATTCAAAAACTTAACCTTAGGTTAAGTTTTCGATGATGATGCTACAACATAGTCCAAGTCTGTTGACCTGAAATGACCTTTGACCTTGACTTTGTGATCTGAAATTCTACTCACATGATTGGGGGTACTTGATTACCCTATAGTCAAAGTTTCATTGACTAAGAACTTATACTTTATAAATTATATCAAAAATTCAAAAACTTAACCTTAGGTTAAGTTTTTTATGTTGACGCCGTCGCCGTCGCCGCCGCCGTCACCGGAAAAGCGGCGCCTATGTCTCGCTTTTTGCTACGCAGGCGAGACAAAAATTGAGGTTGGAACATTATTTATAGGCAGGGTGGCCCACTAGCAGGCCCCGAAAAATGAAATCCTCTGAATATTATCAGCATTTTGAGGTGAATATTGACTAAGAATCATGATCAAATAACAAAAATTGATTATTTATTCTCATATTAAGTTGTAAAAACATATCCAAGTCTACTAACCTAAAACTTGTGATACTTGATAACCCTTGTGTACAAGTTTCATGGAATTTGAACAAAATATGCCAAAAATTCAAAATCTTGATGTTGATGCCACAAAAAAAGTCTTAGTTTGTTGACCTAAAATGACCTTTGACCTTAACTTAGTGACCTGAATTGTACTCACATGATTGGGAATACTTGATTACCCTGTAGTCCAAGTTTCATTGACTAAGAAATTATACTTTCATAATTATATCAAAAATTAAAAAACTTAACCTTAGGTTAAGTTTTCGATAATGATGCCACAACATAGTCCAAGTCTGTTGACCTGAAATGACCTTTGACCTTGACTTTGTGACCTGAAATTCAAATCACATGATTGGGGATACTTGATAACCCTTCAATCCAAGTTTCATTGTCTAAGGACTTGTACTTTCAAAATTATATTAAAAATTCAAAAACTTAACCTTAGGTTAAGTTTTTGATGTTGACGCCGCCGTCACCGGAAAAAGCGGCGCTTATGTCTCGCTTTTTTGCTACGCAGGCGAGACAAAAACTAAATTGTTTACCGATTTCAAGTTATTTCTAGTATTCATTCACTACATAATCTCCATCATGATGAATAATGAGAGAATGTTCCAGCTCTTTTCCCTGGGTTGAAATTTATCAGCCTCATAGGTAGATTATTAACAGGAAAAAAACACACATTTACAACAAATATACTCAAGATGTCCGTCTACTTACACCGGGTATTGCCCATTGCTGATTATCCACTCTCTGTATAGCAATGAACTCTAGGACTGGCTTGTCTTCATCCATTAAGATGGATCCATCATCTGGCTTCCTCTTCCATCTGTCAAAGAAGATAAGAGGTGATAGAAAATGATCCCAATCAAACTACCATCCATGATTCATGGCAGTTACAACAATTGACCTCATTCATTTCATATGGCAATTTATAAGTATGGACCAGTTTATTTTCTACATAGTGCGCACCAGCAAACAAATTAAATTCTTTCAGAAGTACATGGATAATTTTGGTGGCATAAATAAAGAACAAAACCATTAATAGGTACAATTTTGATGTGTATGTGTATATGAGAAGTGTACCTGTATATAGGAACAGCGGCGGATCCGGGGGTGGGGGTGGGTGGGGGGGTGCACAGGGGCACGTGCCCCCCCCCCCCCCCCCCCCCCCCCCCCCCCCCCCCCCCCCCCCCCCCCCCCCCCCCCGGCCAAAAAAAAATATGTTAAAATCAGCCCTAAATTCGCTCAAAATATACTGAAAAACAGGGACGTGTCCCCCAGCCCCCCCCCCCCCCAATTTTTTATTTTTTTAAAAATTTTATTAAAAAAAAGAAACAAAAATGCCAATGGCTGACCTAAAAAGGTAACCTTACCCCCCCCCCCCCCCAACGGAGCAAAATGTCAAATTTAAAAATTTCTGGACCTAAAAAAAAAACGAAAAAAAGTGTCCTCTTACCCCCCCCCCCCCTTATTCAGTGGCTGGCTGAGTCGTTGCGATTTTTTTTGGGACTAAAAAAAAAAATATATATATTCTCTTTCCCACATGGTGCCCCCCCGGCAAGAAATTCCTGGAATACATTGAAATAACTGAAATATCATATGCCATTTTCATGAAAGTTTGACTGTGAGAGGCAGAGAAAGCCATGATTATGAGCACTCGAGCATCCTGGTAAAGCACATCTGGGCCAATTATTTGTTATCGTTTGTGTTTGTTTACCTTGTTGCTATGGGATCAGCTGCATGGTTCGGACCCCATCTTCCTAGTAGACCCCTACCACTGAGTCCTGTACGTCCTTTGGGATTTCTGCAAGGCAAATGAAATAAATAAAACAAAATTCAACAATTCTGAATTTACGCATATTACTTGCAAGTTGTCAAGATAAAGAGTATAAAAAACAGCAAATGAGGTGCTCCAGAAAACATTTAAGAATCTGTAATTTTCTAATGTTATTCTGAATTTTATTGTGATCTCATTTTTCCATGCTAGCAAATAGACCAAAGTCAACAATGGTTGTCACGGTTAAAATGAGTGAGCCTCACTTTGGCCCCTCTGGACAAAGAGTCATATTGACCGAACATCATGTTTGTAACATTGTCATAATTTGACCCAAAGCTGGTCTAACATTATCTACGTTGATTTCAATTTAGGGCTGACAATACCTGACATGCTACTGTAAACATCACATGATCTTCTGACAAATAAATTTTTTAAGCATTTATATTAAAGTACAGTATGTCAAAGACCTAAAATGAACAAGATGGAACTTTGACTGCACGCAGTCGAAAGTGATGCCTCCGTCATAGAGCAATTTAACAAACCAAAACAGAAATTTTCAAATTCAAGTTCGGTGTTAATCCATTAACAGGTTCTCAGAATATCATGATTACAAGCTATTTCTCATATACATGTATGACCCTTTGATCTTTGACCTCATGACCCCAAATGCAAGATACATACATGTCTTGAGTTTGATGGTAATCCATCCATCGGTTCTAATGATAATGCAATCACCATCTATTTTTGCATACATAATGAGCCCCATGACCTTTGACCTCATGACCCCAAAATCTAATCAGTTCAGTGCCTCACCAAGATACAAACATGTTCTGAGTTTCATGATAATCTGTCCATCTGTTCTAATGATAATGTGATCACAAGCTATTTTTGCATACATAATGAGCCCTGTAAACTTTGACCTATGACCCCAAAATCTAATCTATTCATTGGCTCTGCAAGATACATACATGACCTAAGTTTGGTAGGAATCCATCAGTCGGTTCTTGAGATAAAGCGATCACAGGCTATTTTTACATACATAATGACCCCTGTGACCTCGTGACCCCAAAATCTAATCAGTTCATTGGCTCTGTAAGTTACATACATGACCAAAGTTTGGTAGGAATCCATCAGTCGGTTCTTGAGATAACGCGCTCACGAGAACGGGACGTATGTACGGACGGACAACCCGAAAACATAAAAACCAACCCCAGATGCATATTGCAATGCGACAGTTACAAAACAATCACAGATGAAGGAGTGTGATAGTTCTAATGGATGTAAGATTATCATAATATCTATTCAAATGACATCTAACTCACAGTGGAAGCCCGTCTTTGATTTGGTACGCCTTCATGTGACTCCTTCTGTTGTATTTACATTGCTCATCCATCTGATTGTAGAGGAGTACTGGACGTGAGCTCTCTGGCATGCTCATGAGATCAATGTCTGCCCAGTGGGGACCTTTCTCTACACTCCGATGAGTGTATCGCACCGGTGTGTAGAGCGGGAAAGCGGTCTGGTGGAAGACAACAAGTAAGTGAAACAGGTATTAGCTCATATAATATCAGTTAGCTTAGATATTATCACTGAACCCTTCACTTATCATTAACCACAAACACATGGAGTGACAGAGTTTTCAGTTTCAATTTTTGGCATATATAATTGAATAAAGGAGAACTAAAGAAAATCCTCCAACAGGATAAAAATATCTACTAGGTCACTTTATTGAAACCATAGCCAAATCAAAACGTTGGGCAAGATACAAGATAATCATGAACTTGAACATCCATGTCAATCTATTCATGTATTCATCAAATTAAAGTAATAAACATTGCTCAAACAATCAAGAGGAAGAAAAGTGTGAAAGTCCAAGGTATTTGGTCATTGGATGTCCCATACTTTACCAAGTATTGCAGAGTTCTGAACCTAAATCAACATCAAATGGGTCATTTCACTTCAAATTTGGTCTCCTCTAAGCTATACTAGGACCATTAACTTAACACAATGATCAGATATACTAAAATCTGAGATGGGGTTGGGGACGTGTGGGAAAACATAGCTTTGGCAGGTCTAAGTACAAAGGTATAACATCTAAATTGACAGACTTCGAAATAACAAGGTGATTTTTAGCTTTGCACTGTCTAGATGCATTGCCTTTCAAACTCTACACATGTCATAGACTTACCTCCCAAGGAACCTTGTCGTCTGGGACAGGGAATCTTCTCATAGCAGTCCCAGGATAGGGACTGGCCCGAGACTTCTTATGAATCATGATACCTAAAGCTTCTAGGGAGTCAGGCACTTTAAATCTAGCTACTTCCTCAGCAATGTCTAAAGAATCTACAAAGAAGAGAAAAAGAAGAGGATGATTATAGCAAACTACATTGAAATGCATTAAAAGGAGTAAGTTTCCCATTTAACAGGACAACAAATTGAGACTATTAGATCTTTTCGTTCATGTTAAACCTATTGGCTCACTGCTGCCACCATGTTGTGTTATGGGGCATGGCCCATTGTCAAATACATAACACTGTAGATTATGGACACATTAATAATTAGAATCTTGAGACGATAAATAGACTCGCATCTTGCTTGGATAGAGGTTTATTGACGCAGAACAATGGGCAGAGTTACAATGATATGTGTGTGCGCTCATGTAGCTCCATTTACAATTTATGGTTTAACTGTCATATCATACAACAATTCCTGGTGAAAAACTCTGGGAATAATGAGAGAATTCAGTAGTCAGCAGGTTAGCATTATATAAATACTCACTACATCGAGGGTTCTAGAGATAAATAATAAATCCTCCTTCCATGATTTCATCTAACATACATTGCACAAAGATAGCAATTTGTCATGATATATTTGTATATACCTTCTCTCCTTTGGATGTCCTTGAGTTTGGGTGGTGCCAATTTGACCTCCCTATTACCGCTACTTGAAAGACTTGAAAGAGCACTGATCATCCAATCCAGGGCATCATTGGTACGTTCCATCTACAATGAAAAGAAGAACAAACAATATTGATAAAAATGAAAACATATCCCAGAAATACATCCAGCAGTGACGACAAATGAATATTTGACTTTATTTATTTATTCAATTTGCAAATAGGGCCAAATGAGACAAATGTTGACAACTTATGACAATGTATTTCAAGCTGTAAACGTTTCTTTGATTTTTCAACGACAAAACTATTTGTATAAAAAAAAATTCATGTCCAAATAGGTTTTAATTTGAAATTGTAATATAGTATGGACAGTAGCTTTTGCTAATTGTTGATATTATGCATTTCAAAAGAACTCATACACTGCATCATGATTAAAAATCAGTTTCCCTTCACATGCAAGCAACAATCACAACTAAAGATTAGCATTTAAGCTAAGATGCTGAAACTAATCGCAAAACTTCTTCAATAAGAGAAACAAGATTGGGGATACTTACCCCGTTTTCCAATCTGACTAGTCTTTCTCCAAAGCCCTTTCCTCCATGGTCTAGCTTTATAGTCATGTCTTCCACTCTGTGCACAAACAAAAATATTATAATTCAACAAGATTGTTTTAAGAACAGACCAGGGATAACAGAAGGAAAAATGCCATACAGTCCCTAGCTATCAAAGTCTGCTCTAGCTCAACATTTTCAATAAAGAAAGATATCATGTAAAAAATCAGAATGTCCCTGCATGCTCTTAGATTCATTTTGTGATTCATCAGTAAAATGATATTAGGTATAAAAAATTGAAGATACAAGCAATCATGCAATTAACACAAGAACAATTACAAAGCTGAAATTTTCTTGAAACATATAATACAGGGCTCCAACATATCTTTATGCTCAGGGGAATGCAAATTAAGATTTGTCAGGTCTGTGTGGATGAGCCCCATAATATTAAAAGTGTTTACATTTTGAGGGTCCAGACCTATAGATCTGGGATGCCCATGCATCCTGGGCCCCTGCTATCGTCGAGCCCTGGATAGTGGGTCTGTAATGCATTCAAAGATGCTCCTCGATTATGTTACAAGATCTACTTAAAGGGATAGTTGAGTTCTGTTTTCAGACCTCAAATGCCTTCAAAGTGCATGGTTATTGGTCTTATTCTTATCTATGACATTTCTAGTGCCCTTTTAGAACCTAAAATTGCTATGAAGGTAATTTTAGACCCCTAATGTGTGAAATTTAGCCAATACGATCATACTAATTCAGCTCCACTTTCAAAAAAATAAGGTGACCGTTAATTAATTATCTAATTAAAAATAACAATACATGGGCGTAATATAAACAAAACAAAAATGCCGACAAAAAGCCAACATCGGCATTGGCTGAAATACAGTTCAAAAGGGGCTATTTCGTTTTTTTCAAATCATCTAATATTTGTGGTGGTACACAAATATTAGAAATCGTTATAAGTTCATGGATATTTCAGCCGTCTCTGAACCGATTTTGATCAAACAAAGATGATTTTGTCATTTAAATTGTGTGTTCTTTCAAATTTGACACTCAGTTTTTCATTATCTCACAAAAAAATATTTTGTGTAGCGCCCTCTGCAACAGAACCCAACTATCCTTTTAAAGGATTCCGGTAACTTTGTCTCAGATCCTTTAAAAAAATCCTTGATTTAGCTCATGCTGCAATCATAATTGAATAACATGACATGACATAACATGAATCCCATGTCATCTGATTTTCAAGATATTTATGATTGGAAATCGAAATCAAATTTTGTGTTTCCTAACGGTTTTCGATCCTAACACTACAGTCTATTGGGGAAAATGAGTAAAACCGGTCACTCAAAGATTTTTACTTTTTGAGGAACTTCATGATCATTTTGAAGCGCAATTATTTTAGGGCTTCAATATTACACCATATCACAAACAATGAAAGCACGTACGTAGGCCATGCATCTCCAGATTTAACATTGTTAAACGATGCCTTTTAAAGCTACCAACCTGTCACCAGTTTCTTTGACTCTCTCATTGAGGTTCTGTTGCACCAATATTCTCTGTTTGGCTGTGTAGTTATCTGCATTGATGCCTTCCCATAGAACCAAGGTCTTCTTTTCTTGATCAGTCAACCATTGCTCTACAAAGGATGGTCAAACATTGACCCCCAAAAATATGGTTAGTACTAGTATCATGGTATTGTACTCTTCATTATAATATAACCAGTATTACCTTGTTGTACACACCTTTTCTCGCATTCGACAAGCATTGGAATTTTCGTTTCTGTAAGTGTCATCAAATTTCATCAAGAATGAATGTAAACCAATCCTATATCAGGTTCTGAGGTTGCGGACTCTGGACACATTAAAGGAAAGAATATAACTGATTTAACATTGATTATATACCTCACTTAAGAAATCCAGCCACCTGATTGGTCGAAATTGCATTCATAAACTTTAACTATTCCTGTAAAATTCCCGGTAAAATTCCAAACCCATGTAATAGTTCAAAAAAATAGTTCTAAAATCCCAGTTACCACAGTTACCGGGAAATAGTTCTAAACTAGATGGAATTTTGACTGCGCGCAGTCGAAAATGATGCCTCCGCCATAGAGCAATTTAAACAAGTTTGGAGTTTAAATCTCCAGTGGTTCTTGAGATATCATGATAACAATCTCAATGTATGGAATTTCATAAGTTGACCTCTGTGACCCTTGACCTTTGACCTACGTGCTCCAAAATCTAATCAGATTGTCTTCCTATGGTGATACACACTATCATTAAGTTTGAAGTTTAAATCTCCAGTGGTTCTTGAGATATTATGATAACAATCTCAATGTATGGAATTTCATAAGTTGACCTCTGTGACCCTTGACCTTTGACCTACGTGCTCCAAAATCTAATCAGATCGTCTTCCTATGGTGATACATACTATCCTTAAGTTTGAAGTTTTTACATCTCCAGTGGTTCTTGAGATATCATGATAACAATCTCAATGTATGGAATTTCATAAGTTGACCTCTATGACCCTTGACCTTTGACCTACGTGCTCCAAAATCTAATCAGATTGTTTTCCTATAGTGATACACACTATCACTAAGTTTGAAGTTTAAATCTCCAGTGGTTCTTGAGATATCATGATAACAATCTCAATGTATGGAATTTCATAAGTTGACCTCTGTGACCCTTGACCTTTGACATACGTGCTCCAAAATCTAATCAGATCGTCTTCCTATGGTGATACATACTATCCTTAAGTTTGAAGTTTAAATCTCAAATGGTTCTTGAGATATCGCGCTAACAAACTCAATACAAGGAATTTCATAAGTTGACCTCTGTGACCTGTGACCTTTGACCTACGTACTCCAAAATCTAATCAGATCGTCTTCCTATGGTGATAAATACTATTCCCGAGTCTTAAGTTTAAATCTTAAATGGTTCTTGAGATATTGTGATAACGGTCAAACGGGACGGACAACCCGAAAACATGATGCCTCCGGCACCACCTTCGGTGGCGGAGGCATAAAAATAGTTCTAAAATCCCAGTAACCATGGTTACCCATAGGTTTGAGCGATCGCGGATACCGTACGTGTGCGAAGAATTGGTCGGCATTTTTAGTACGGCAATATATCTCGATTCAAACAAGGCAAAAATGGCTGTAGAAACTCTCCCAAGATTTCAACTTCTGGATGAGGATCAAATTCGAGACATGCTGACAGCAAGAACACCAAAAAGGGTACGTGAAATCTTCCATAATTTTTTTTCAGTGGCCTAGATCTAGATTCTAGTACGCGACAACCAGATGCTGGTGATTGTAGTGATTTGTACGTCACGGACAGATGCAGATCCTTCCCGTAAAGATTACACACATCCCTATGCATTTCCATTGGCCATTGCGCACTCGATGTTTTAATTACCAGAGATTCAAACTAATTTTGCTCGTGATCCTGAAGGTGATACTCAATAAGTGAGGTGTCATATGAAAGCGCAGGTTTTTCTCCATATTCCCCACAGGGCCAGCCCACCCATAAAATTGTAAAAATATCTTACTTAGCCTTAGACTAGAATCCAGATCTAGTCTACTCTCAAAGAAACACTCATAAAAAACAACCGTGCAGATAAACTAGAGAAAGGCCAAGGTGGTGTCATAATTTTTTCGGCATATAAAAGTATTAATGACTGCTTTAATATCCAGACATGCTGACAGCAAGAACACCAAAAAGGGTACGTGAAATCTTCCATAATTTGTTTTCAGTAGGTCTAGATCTAGATTCTAGTACGCGACAACCAGATGCTGGTGATTGTAGTGATTTGTACGTCACGGACAGATGCAGATCCTTCCCGTAAAGATTACACACATCTCAATGCATTTCCATTGGCCATTGCGCACTCGATGTTTTAATTACCAGAGATTCAAGCTAATATTGCTCGTGATCCTGAAGGTGATACTCAATAAGTGAGGTGTCATATGAAAGCGCAGGTTTTTCTCCACATTCCCCACAGGGCCGGCCCACCCATAAAATTGTAAAAATATCTTGCTTAGCCTTAGACTAGAATCTAGATCTATTATACTCTCAAAGAAACACTCATAAAAAACAACCGTGCAGATAAACTAGAGAAAGGCCAAGGTGGAGTCATAATTTTTTCGGCATATAAAAGTATTAATGACTGCTTTAATATTCGAGAAATAGTTGTTTTTATACGCTCTCGGGAAGGTTACAATTGGGCTATTGCCCTCGGCACGCCTCGGGCAATAGCACAATTCTAACCTTCCCTTGAGCGTATAAAAACAACTATTTCTCTCAAAGCAGTCATTAATACTATATTCTATTGTTCTGTCTATCCAAGGCAACAATAATCCAAATTGGTGGAAAACTGTGATTTGACTGCACTACAATGGTACGAGACACTATGAACATGACTGACAAAGAAAGCGGACAAAATATACAGTTCCTCAGGTAGACAAAGGAACATCCCTTCACTGCTATTATGTAAAAAGGTGAATATGCATGTGACACCTGTTCTACACATTTTTTACTTAATAGCAGTGAAGGGATGTTCCTTTGTCTTCCTGAGGAACTGTATATTTTGTCCGCTTTCTTTGTCAGTCATGTTCATAGTGAGATATCTATTGATATCCAGTATCCACTTTTCTCTCTTTACCGTATTCAAGTGATTGCTATAAATCCAGTGCAATATGTTACTGAACTCAAAAGGAAAGTGAGTTTATGCCAATGATTGCTAAATTTTTGAAGAAGATACATGTACAATCTAAACTTAATCTCTAATGATAAAGTAATCATGCTTACTGAGTTCAGGTATCTTCCAGTGGGTGCAAGTTCTACAACAGTGTTGTATGACGAAGCGTACTGCATAGAAGAAATGAGAGGCCAAGATGAATGGTGGTATGATAGTGGGGCGGTTGAAGTACTCCTTGATCAGATAATAGCGCTGGAACTTCCAGATGGTGTCGGTGTTGTCTTGGATGGCTGAAAAGGTGTAACTGCACAAAAGAAGGCAACATAATTATGATGGATAAAGTATGAAATCATTTGTTTATAAACAGACAGAAATTAGTAGGAAAGGAGGATCTGCAGGTGGCTGAAGACAAGAAAAAAACAGAAATCAATGTCATTAAACGCTTAAAAAATTGAATCAACCAGACAGGATCTCAAGAAAAATCACAAGAAGAGCAAGAACCGGAAGAGGGAGTGAAAGGGGATTACGTATAGCTATATTGCTGCACTTGATAAGTGACAATCCAAATATAATTGCAGAATTTAAATATAATGTTGAGTAATCATATCTAATTGTGTTGTGGGGTATGGTTAAAATTTGAAGGCACTATCTGACATCAGTAAAGAGATTGAATTGTCAGAAATCCCCATTATTCAAATGGCAATGCTAAAGAACTTGTTGACCTGACTGACCTGAACATGGCAATGAGTAGATTGAGAAGTAGAACATTACTGATCATCATGTAACCAGCTAAGAGGACAATGCCAATCCAGGAATGTTCAGGACATGGGAAAAAGTCTACACCATCAACCAGAGTGGAATTGTCTGTGCAGTCAGAACCTATAGAAACAACAAGAGGAAAGATCATGATGATACGAGGGTCAAAATTAGAATTATTTGAATGGGAAATTTCTTTGAAGAGGGGGCTTTTCCCAAGCTGCCATTTTAAGATCCTAAAACGTTTTACACAAATTCATCTTTTAACAGGTACCCATTTATGACAACTGGGTCGAGAGAGGCATTTGTATACAGATATGTCATGCAGCAGAACAGATGCACTTAACAAGCATTTGTGACCCTCAACCTTGTGACTGAATATTTAGTACATGAATCACAGCGGTGAGCAAGCTTGGCATTCATTACCTTCAATGACTTCAAGAAAGAGTTCTCCAAAGATCTGGAAGTATGACCTCATCAGGATGCCTCTCATGATGACACTGACATCCGTCTCGTTAGGAAAGAGGATGGCTTGAGATGCAATCCCGTAACCGATGAGGAACACAGCCAGGATGGCCACAAAGAACATCAGGTCAACCATCTGACAGGGAAAGAAAAATCAGATATATTTTTATTTAAATTGAAGGCAACTACTACTGAATTATACCCTGTCAAAGGTATTCACTAATGATAATTCACAAGAATTATTCATTGCAGGTATATATTATTTATTACACAAGTATTTAAATATCCTACTATTCTGACACATTGTCTGGTCCAAAAGTGTTTTTTCTTCTTCAAGAAGGCACAGTATGTCTTAAGTAATGTACAGCTTCATTGAATTGATCAGAGTAATTAAGTGCTTATTGATTGTATTATTTCTCATGAATACTATTCTTGTGTGAGTTGGTTCCTATGGGAATCTGAAACATCACAACTTAAATATATTTGTCAAATGTGGGGATAATGCCTTGATCTAAATGTTGCCTTAATTACACCAGCTCCAATGATAAGTACCCTGTGGTCAATTTTGTATACTGGTAAATGCCAAATCCACAACCCTGGAACTAACACTATATACCAAATACTAGCCCTCTAATAGAAAAAGCTGAGGCAAATATCGCCAGAATTTATTTTGGATCACAATTCTAGAAGGTACTTCTTTATCAGCTTTGTCGACCAATCAATGGAATAAACAAGCTTGAGACTGCATGCCAGCCAAGTCTACTTCTTTCACATCTATATAGTGTACATGTATTTTATACTGTAACAATATATGGCAATCCATCATTTTGATCTTAAGAGTTTAAACATCTCTGATTAGGAGCAAGTTGTTGGTCGACTGACCATCCTTTGGATCATGATGAGTTTGGGTCCCAGCTGCTTGCTGATGGAGAAGATATGGAGCGCACGGATGAAAAAGAGGGTCAGATTCAAGGAGAGGAGGACGTGACCTGCTTCAGAAAAGCCGACAAAATTCAGGATCTCTGCCACTGCAAAGGTGATCAGCGTTGCCATATCAAGAATGTTCCAGTAGTCGGTGATCCACGCTAAAAGGCGACTCGACCAGCTGCTGTTTACACCTTGTGCAATCTGTATGGAAGCAAAGGATTTAAATTAGCAGTCAATCTTGGATTGTCTGGGTAAGCTAGTACAAGAATCTGGTTACCGATGACATCATTACTTCAGCCTGTTGTCAGTGTATAGTCATTGAACAACATGTATATGATAAGCCTTTATTTATATATATATATACCTTGTGTGTTTGTTTTTTGGGGGGAGGGAGGGGGTTCTTTCTTTTTTTTCCCCTTTTCTTCATACATATAACAACATTTAAACATTTTTCATACATTTAACAGAACGATGGAGATCATTCTGTCACATTTGAATACTAAAATACAGCCCAAACTGAAACTTTCTTTACAAAACAATTTTCAGCTATCAAAATACAAACACATTGCTCTTTGTGATATTCTACTACACTTTCCAATCCTTTTGGTTATCTAATGTCATCTATTGACCGCCAGAAGGGCGATAACTTTAACTATAGTGCTACCACTTAGCATCCTTCCGGCTTTGAATATGAGCCATCATTAGGATAGTGACCTATGACCCTAACGCATGCAGATAAACAGTAACATTTTACTTAAATAAAAATTTCTTGATAGATAGGCTTAAAGGTATAATAGAAGGTTGCATCATTACCTGTCTAAACTCCTCTGTGCACAAAGACACGACCCAGATGATGAGCACATACTCAAAATAGTCTTTCGCAAATTTGCCTAGGATGACATAGCTATACAGCACCAAGAAGACTATGTAGGACAACTGTAGTTAGCAGTAGATGTAGGGGTAGAGAGATGGAAGGAGAGAGAGAGAGAGAGAGAGAGAGAAGATAACTGGCATGATAAATGATCTTTGAGGTTGGACATCATTATCTTCATATTGTACCTAATGTACACTATACTACAGAATACAAATCAAAGGAGACCTGTAATACAAAAGCCCAATACCTGGAATGAAATACTAGTATTTTCTAGTTCAATCTGATCTGTTACCTTTGACCTATCACAACTATTCTAATCATGATTCTGTGAAAAAAAATGCATGCATGAATCATTAATACACAAGACCTTAGACCTTTACCAAAATTTAAATACCGGCCATCACCATCTTTAACCTGAGCAGCAAAGAAGTATACTTCTGCATGATCATCAAGCAAATTCCACGGGAGCAAATGTTTGCAATGAACACCACCAATGTAACTAGATTAACTATTAAGTTTTCTACCTTGTTCATGAGTACCAGGCATTGATACTTGTCATGAATATGCATCGTATTATATATGCAAATGAACCAGTTGACCTCTGGGTCAGATCGCATGTGCACAATGTAAGCGTACGCACAACAACAAGTATGTAGTAATAAACCAGTGAATGTGATTCTAGAACTGGAGTGATTTCTCGAACTGGAGTGATTTCTCATTCATTTAATAAAATTTAAAGAGTAGACAACGATTTAAAATGGTTTATTGACAGGCTGACAAAATGTAGGTCAAGAGGTTGTTTACATTTTTGAGGGAAATTCACTCGCTAGGAAATGTAATACTTTGTATTACATTGGAAGGAAATGTACAAGCGTATGTACGCTTATCAAGCAAGCGCGGAAAATACCGCCAGCAAATTAAAAATAGCACGAAGGGGCTTTCATTCTAGTTATGGCTTTCATTTTGAATGGACAAGAAGAAAAATTTACGGAGTCTAAAACATTATTTGAGGATTTGGATTAATACTAAAGTTAGCACTGCACTGGAATAATTAGTTGGATATATAACGCTGAATTATTTCTTCTCGTGAGCGACCAGCGGGATTATACTCGGGTTTTGGGCTGGCCTTTGTCGTTGGGCCTGATTAGAAAGGAGAGTCCATATCATTATTTTGGCCTGGTCGCACATCACACAGTGGCATCACGGCATAGGCGGGATCGAATGCTGCGTTTCACGGACGTGGCAGTCACCGGCAGTGCACCACATCGCCGGGTGAGTCTCTCTTTAAGGGAATCGAAAACTGATCCGAGGGGAAACGGTTGCACCATTTCAATACACGAAATTGAGGCGGGTATAGTTGTCCCGTAAAGGCGGTCCTTAGATATTTGAAAATGCGCCCGGGAAGTGGGGAGGCTTTCTTTTGCTCATATGGTTCGCTTCCTCTCACCAGGCATGAGTTCAGTGCCATGATAAAGAGATGCATGTCATACAGAGATATGTTGGCGGCGAAGTTTTCCTCCCATTCTTTTCGTATAGGTGCGGCTACAACCGCTGCTATGGCGGGCTGCTCGGACGCCCAAATACAGCACATGGGTCGATGGGCTTCCTCCGCGCATCGCAGATAATTGTTGTTTAAATATGAGCAATGTTGCAAAGTACCGTTGGGGTTGATTTGATTTGATTTGATTTGATTCGCCAGGTATACGTACAAAATATAACAGAGTGAATGATGAGGTTAACGTGTCCGGGGCCAATAATGTAAGGGTGAGGCCGCATACACAGGAATGAATATATGTACAACACACAGAGGAATAAGTCCCTCGCCTCGAGAGGTTAAATAAGCTAATAATAATAATAGCATTAATAATAATAATGGTGCTACAACATGAAAATGAAAACGAAGTCAAGCAGACAACAAACATACATGCAGAACAAGAGCAAGAAAACACTAGAAATGCAATCGTGTCACAACGATGTGCGTGCAATGACGCCGTGTTTCTACGTGTCAAACGAATGAGCTTCTCTCGCCCTATCCAGAGCAATTTGTACGAAGTCTGTACCTTCTGTGATAGTGGGGATAGGTAGGGCGAAAGAAAGGCCTCAACAGTGACCTTGATGGGATGGTAGTGACTATGCCTACGAAGTTTGAAAGAAATTGGGATAGGGGAAAGGACGTAAGGGCTCGCAAGCACTGCATGCAAAAACCAAGGGGATTTGGTGCATGTTCGTCTTTGCAATAAAGATTGTTCTTGGGGTCAAAGGCGTGAACCCTATATGCCCCATAGAATATGCGTGTAATGCATGAGCGGAAAACGTACAGGATCTGTATTATGACCGGAGTTAAATTGTTTTTTCTCTCTCTCTTTATGTCTCTTTATGGGCCGTATTTGGTATCATTAGAAAGAGAATTTCATGATTGTTATTGTAAACTACTCTCTTTTTTTTCTAATCTATGATAATCTTATCGAAACACGTGATTTAAAATAGATTTATAGGACAAAATGGCGTCTTAAATAGCCCCATCGACCAATTTTAAAAATCCGGCCAAGAGGTGCCCTGCGTATTGGAACTCGGCATGTCACTGGACGTTTAAGGGGCGAAAAGCAGTCTGAAAAAATGACGTCATAGCCGATACGTGTTAGATTCGGGCGGAAACTCGGCGGAATTCGTGTAGTGACCTTTGTTCAAATGCGATTTATTCACAATTTTCTGTGTGAACATATACTATACTTGGTATCATTCGAAAGGGCACTTCATTGCGGTCAGTTTGACACCATTGTTATCTTCGCGCAATGTATTGCACGCATTAAACGCGCTATTATGTAATGCATAGTAAATTCATCATTTTTGGCGATTACTTTGCGCTGACATATTCGAATTTTACCAAACTTAGTAAACAGTTGTCACGTATAAGGATACATATGTCTGCCAAGTTTCATTGATTTAGGTATAAAGATCGCCATTTTAGAGCAATTAAGTTGAAGTTATTTCAGAATTTTCTTGAAAATGGCGAATTTGGAGGGCAATTTTCTCAAATTTGGTCAGTGATAGGGTATTTAATTTTGTAAATGGCTGGAAAGGGCATATCATCAAGTATCTAAATCCAAAAAAGGGTACGGGTTTGCCAAGCCATTATGGAGATGCGGCCACAGAGAGAAAGCCAATTCCCAAAACTTAGAGGGCGCTATTTATGTTGTGCAAATCCATTGGAGCGTGAAATTTGGCATGGCTATATGCAATTATGAGATAAAGATACTGTGAGATTTAAATACAAAACGGAATTCATATGAGAAAGTTATGGCAGTTTTAGATTATTTAGGGGTCCATTTTTCAAGAACTTGAGAGATTTTTGACGAAGTCGGTTTCAGATTTGAATTTTGAGTACGAAGATGGCATTTTGAAGGTCAGGTTATACGTCGCAGACAAAAGAACATCTCTTAGACTATCTAGAGGAATTTGTTAGAAGTTTGTAGGATCTAGGATAGTGGAGATAGGAAGGAAGAAAGAAAGGCCTTAAAATGGACCAGAAAAGGACAAAATGGCGCCTGGACGGTTATGCATGAGTGATTTCGAAAATCGAAGAATGTAGTGACCTTGATGAGATGTTACAGACTAGGCCTATGAAATTTGAAAGGAAACGGACATGAGGAAAGGGCATAATTAGTGATGACAAGCACTACGTGCAAAACGAATGGGATTTCTGGACGATAAGGAAAACCAGGAGAATATTAATGGGGCAGAATGTGAACGAAAACAAGGCAATGACGAAGGTCGTCATTGCAACAATGGGATTTCAAGTTCACATTAACGCATGTTCTTTGGAATACAAAATGCTGCCCAGTCCTCTTTTCTTATTTTGTCCACAGAACAAATATGGATAGTAGGCGACTCTATCGTTTTCTGGGCCCATCGCAGGGCGGAGCGGACTGGCTGCGCCGATATGGATTTGGGGACGGTCATCCATTGGGCTGGAAAGCGGGGCCTTCGCTTGGACCAAACAAACGCATGGCTAGAGTCGATTACCAGTGGCCTGACGAAGCCGACCGTTTTAGTGTTACACGTGGGCACAAATGACATAGAGGGATGTTCGAAGAGGGCGATGGCGAATGCGGTGAACAGATTAATCACATCGAACACTGAGACGACAATAATATGGTCTGACATCCTAGAACGGGTAGAATATAAATGCTGTAGTCCGAAGAGCAGGAAAAATTAGACGATAGAAGGAGGGCCACGAACCGATACGCTCGCGCCTTGGCCGGCAGGAATGGGGGAAAGGCCATTCCACACCCCGACTTAAGGCATACGGATAGGGCTTTATATAGGCCGGACGGATTGCATCTCTCCAATGAGGGTTTGGACAGGTTTATCACTGACCTGAAGGAGGGCCTGTCCTATCTCGGTTCATCCAAGTAGTTAAACAATGATAATGTTACAAAACACGTTGTTTGTTCTTATATTTCAATGTTCTTATAGTTCAGTGTTCTTATATTTCAGCGTTCTTATATTGCAATGTTTAAGTCTGTTCGGGTAGCAAAGTAAATCCCGCAAAAAAGTTTGAGTCCGGCACCGCAAGATCATGTTTTTGTTGTTGGGATAAGAGTGCCTTATTTTGGGAGTAACAAAGTTGTGGAGAGTAAATAATGGTTATATGGGGCAGGTTTAGGTGGACATTGGTAAATGACCAGTTTTGCGAATGCTTCATTTCGAAATGGGCATTAACGGTTTAGTCACTTCTTTGAGGGGAATGAATTAGGCATAATGATGTGCCGGTGTTGTAGAGATAAGTTTATTACGATACTCTGTAGTCTGTTAGAGGGTTATAAATTAGCTAAGGGCGAAAAAGTACATGCCTGTACATGTACATTGGTTAATTTGGCCAATTGAAATGTTAATTCCACCAAAGTGTAAATAGTTAAGCATAGATATTCCCTTAGTGCACAGAAATCGGGGGGCCTAGCATAACTTTAGGCATCACTCGATTTTATAGGCGGGGGGCTGATATAATGACTTAATGTATATAAGTTTAGCCTAGGCATCACTCGATTTCATAGGCGGGGGG